TATATTTTTTTTACGTTTGGGAGACAAAATTGTATATAAAGATTTTTTTTGCAGAAAGTTGTTCGAAATGACATATTATATAACATTAAAAGTCCTGGCTGCCTGCGTACTTGAGTAAATTTCCAGCTTCAAAAAAGAAACCAACATTGCTATTTTTCAAAAATATCTCTGAAAGTATTGATTTAATCGAAATAAAGGTCGAAAAGAAAGGTAGCCAAATTACGGAAAATTTGATTTTTGTTAAAGGTCGTACACGGAAAGAACGATTTTGTTGAAAGATCTAAAAATTTTGCTAAATATAGATCCGAAAATAATGTTTTGTTGAATCATCAAAATAATTTATTGGAATGTAAAAACTGATAAGCATTGCTATAAAACGTTTTAATATTCTAACAATAATTTTGACTTTCGCACAAAATTATTTTGATTATTGAACAAAAATTATTTTCAGATTTTCAGACAGACTGGATTCAGCAAAATTGTTCTTTCCATGTATAATTTGCATGGTTAAATTAATTATAATTTTATAGTTGTCCCCGAAATTCACTGTAAATTATAGTTAAATTATGATTATTCCAACTACATTTTTCTCTCGGTGAGGAAATCAATAGAAAATAAAATTATTTATTCCATTATTTAATTCTATTGTTATATCCATAAATTTTTATTTAATTTCTAAAATTACGCACGGATGAATCGACATAACATAAATTTACGAGACCACTTGCAACATAACACAAATAACAAGTGTCTTGCTTTTTTATTTGTAATAAATATTGTTATAAAGAAAAACGACTATAAAAAAATAGAAACCAAACGTATATAAGCGAATCAAATCTTACTTCTCATTGTGCATTAATTTGTAGCTGCATCCTTTCCGCGGAAAATATTAAACAGTTAATACGCGTGTAGCTACTTATTATGCAATGATATCTTTCAACGCTATCGTCTCGACCATGAAAACTAACGATATTCTCACGTACCGGATGGACTAACTAACGAAACGCGAGACTCGTAACGCGGACACGCTTACACGAGCGCAATTGCCGCGCGCGCGCGGTCGTTAATTCTGTCACGGCAGTTTCGTTACAGCCGTAACGGTCGCAGCGATTAGATAAAAGACCAACGAGTCGGCAAATCGACGGTTACGATCGTAAAAACGTAACTCCGACTTTGTGCGTTACGCTACGCGTCCATGGTTATGCCGTCTGCCTCGCGGTCGCCGGCTCGTATACGTAAACGATCAATTTCATAGGTATAATCATTACATCTGGCCCATCGTTGCTCTCTCGCTTACGTCGTCATTGAGGAAGCACGATTATGCAATTTTACACAGGTCACATACGCACCTCGCTGATTCGTCCGTGCACACGCGCACAATCACGTCTGCACCAGCGTTTGCGCACCACTTCCATTCTTTGTGCGTAAAGTGATTGATAAAAAAAAAACCACCGAGATAAATAAACAAAACTTTTCCTTCAAATTCAATTTATTCGATATAAGCGCGGCTTGTGTCAAATTGCGAAATTAATTTAATTCCCTTTCTCTTTTATACATACTAAATAGATATTAATTTTTGAAAAGAGATTGATTCGAAACTATTTCCAGTTTTTAGAAAATTTACTCGCACCAGTTTCGCAACAACGAAAAGTATATCAACACGCGTCTCCGTAGGCGCAGGATGAACGCGATTTCGACCTTATGCAAATTTGCGAGGTATCATTTACGAGTTCACGGGACGAGTTAAACAGAATTGGCTCGCTAGAAGCGGAAGTGGTCGAGCTTTGGCGACGGGCAGGAAAAGGCGTCGAGCTTCGATGATTAGATTGCGTTCTAGGACCGTGTTCATTACGTAGCCCTTGATACGATTTCGCGCTCCGCAAATTTTCAGCTTGATATTGTATATATTTGCATGCCATGAAACGATGACAAGCGACGACGTCGTACGAAGTAGAAAAATTTTATTTCGGCGCCAATTGAATTCTACTCTGTAAATTTTATAATACGAAAAAGATCGGGGTGAAAAATAAATTGCCAATACGTGACTTTCCCGTATAAATAATTTAACCCTATATGCCGTTTACGAAATCAGTTTTCAGCTTTATCGTGGATGAAATGCAGTTCAATGTCGCACATATGCGACGGTCATTGTATTTTACAACAATATCTTCACTTTTGTCACAGGAAATTAACGCGCTCGGTTTTCACACTATCGGCGTGAGGGCTCAGTAGGGCGCAGAGTATTTGCGAAGCGTGGGGCTATTTTTAAATGTACATTTCGCATTATAATCAGAATCTCTGAAAATCCAGTTTATATATATATATATATTTTTTTAATAGTTTTGCGATTATTTGCAAAAACAAATCTACATCATTGTACTTTAATGTATTGCAATTTTTAATGTTGAATTTATCACAGAATTTATTGAATAAGAAATATCTCATTCATATTAGTGATTTCTATATTAATATAAAAACCTTATATATATATATATATATATAT